TAACAATTCTGCGTCACTGCAGGGTCGGTCTTGGGCATGCAAATGAATCCAGCGTGAACACGCAACGTTGGTCCTAGAAGCTCCTGGCGTTTTGCTTCCTCCCGCATTCGGGGTACCTGACGGCCTGCACGGACAGCCACGTCGTGCTGCGTGTGATGCGGTCCCGGCACGGCAGGCGGGCTGTGTGACACTCACAGACCGGCCAGGGTGTTTGTCATAAAGATTAAAGCAAAGAGGTATCCCCAGTGAATGATCTGGTCACCTTAAATGAACAAAAGATTTGGACATTGCTGACGATTTATGCTTTTATGCAAAGGCAGTATTTTTATTACAGATATTCTGCCCTGCAGATTAATTAAATTGCCTTGCAGGGGGCAAAGCCTTCCAAGAGGCAAACTTGTCACTTCAGTCTGTTCAGTCCCAGTTACTTCATAAAAAAAAAGAAAGAAAAATAAAACACTGCCAGGAATGGTCTGTTGCTTTCTACAGCGTGCTGTGGCAGATGAATTGTTGTTGAGCAGCTACATTCATACCACACGTATCATATTCATACCCTCCTACCTCTTCCCCTGGCTGCCAATGCAAGGCAGACTAGATTGGTTAATTACATCTTTCCTCCTTAATGATGGAATACTTGGAAAACTCTTATTGATCCTACAGAATATAATTCATGACCTAATTACGGTGATAAAACTGCAGGATTATCATCTTGCCAGCTATTAACTTCTAGCATTGATCTGAGTTAATTAGAAAAGAGATAGGTGATTTCTATGTTCTGGATTTGCAACGTAACAGCAAGATGAATGAGGAAGGCCATTAAAGATAGGCCGAGCAATTTCTAGCCCTCAATGTACTCTCAGCTCTCAATCTACTACCAATCCTGCCCAGGAAATACCAGACACATTTAACACTTTAGCTTCATTTCTTCAGCCATTTGAGTCATTTGCTCAGTGGGACAACAGTGTTTGATACTGTCAATTTTGCAGAGGTTCAAATGTGGAGCATGGACCTCCCTTTCTTTATCTGTCTTTTAAAGAATTGAGGAGATTGATCTAAGTTCTTGTTTTGGACTAAGTCTTCAATCACTCTCAGTCTGGACAGAAAACAAAAAAAACCAAACAAAAAATCAAGATGATCCTTGATTTCCAGAATTAAACTCACCCTCCCCTTAACTGAAATGATGGGATGTGGCTGAGCCAAGAAAGAAAAACCTCTTCCCTCACCAGCCCTTCACTGTGCTTTTCCTGAAAAGGATGCAGCCCCACCTAAGAACCAAGCTTTGATTTCCTTCGTGGCTGCTCTGGGGACTGCTTGTCAGGGTCACGCAACAGATCTAGAAGATGAGAAACTAGGAGTTTTCTGCCCCGCTCAGGGCTCGTCTACACAGGAAGCCAGTCAGCAGCAAAATAGGATGTGCAGTTCGAACGCGTTCCCTGTGCCCCACGAGCTTCCTGCGTGTCCGCCGTAACACGCACAGTCTCTTCGTTCGGCTTCCTAACTGAAGTAAACTCCCGTGCACAGACGCAATCTCAGTGCTCGTCAGAAATGCCCACACGGGTGATGACATAGCTACTATGATGCACGCTGTCTTCCCCACATAGGTAATCCGTTTGGTTTTAGTGTTATGACTGTTATCCTCAAGATGAGGGTGTAATTTCTTGGCTTTCTGCCACCCAGACGAGTCTTTGGCCGTTGAGACTACAAGCGCTAAGACAATGGGCTGGTCAAGGAAGAACAGCTTTGAAGTTGAGCAAGAGTGGCCAAACTGAGATTTCTAGTAATACCAGGAATTTAAGTTGCTACAGTCATACGAATGTAGAAGAAAGTCCAACAGTGGGTAGAAGCTAGCAAGTATTAGGGGCTAGCGTGGTGTGGAGCAGACCTTATTTTCTCATGTTGCAGCATGAGTTCAAACCACACCGACCTCTCACTTTAGATGCAGATACCAAAGAAACCTCCTGGTGGTGAGAGTCAGATGGTTAATCCTGTGGGTACCACTGCTGTTGAGGTTGCCGCCGGCTTGCCCTGAAGCAGGCTGTCCATGCACACACACCATGCACAATTACTCGGCATAATAGGGCTATGAGGTAAGCATGAGTCCACATCAGCCAACCGGGTACGTCTCTGATGTAAGGCACCAGGCCAAGTGCTCTCGATTTCACCTTGCCATCAAAAATGTGCAGCTATCCCCACGCAATCCAGCTTTGTCAAGCGCCTGACTGCTTTAAGGGAAATAGGGCCCAAGAGGAGAAAGACCGATGCAGTCTCACAGTACAGCTGGCACTGGCAAAGCAGGAAAGCTCACCCCATGTTAGTGCACACTCTAGTTAACCGTTCAGATCCTGGCTGACACTAGGAAGCTTCAAGCTGGGAGAGATATCTGTTGTAGGAGACTCTTAATACAAAGGAAACTCAAAGCTTGCAATCAAAGTTGATGGGAATTGAACAGTTTGCACAGATGGAATCTTCCATATCTTCAAAAGTATTTGATTCACGGGTAAACAAGGCTCAAAATATCTTTGTGAGATAACATCTCCCCCGTAATTTGCTACCACCCAGTTTAAGTGGTGGCACAGAGTTCTCACGCTGTTTGTTCCAGACCACGTAGAGCTCCACACTTCTGCACCCTTATTCCAAACGACGAGACTATGCTGCCTTGCAACGCACTGCCAGTAATACACACTTGAAAGAGAAACACAAGACGTTTGCAACATCTTCCAACACCTTTAAGGCACTGGGTTTCCCGGAAGAGAAAGCAACGGGTAAGAAATGGAAAAAGAAAGTTTACTTCTACTTTAGAGGTTGCTGAACTGGGAAGCACTTCGTTATGTGACTTTCTGAAGTATTTCCACTGTTACAGGGAGAGCCTATTCACAAATGCTGTGGGTGATCTGTTCCCAGCAAGAGAGATTTTGATGACCTATAACTCATCAGAAGGAGGTTTTCATACTCTGCGAGCTATTGTGTTGGTCAGTCCATGACGAATCAGTTTCCTGCATTCATTTGTCTCAGTCTCTTCCATGACATCCTCTCTAAAATTTTACTGCTTTATTGCTTACAAACACCTCCTCCCCACGCAGCTCCTGCTGGGAAAGGCAGCTTACCATCTCTGAGGTTGTAACGTGAAACTTGTCAGCTGCGCACGCAGGAACTTTCTTGTTAAGAAAAAAGCATGAAGAGACCTCAGAGAATCATACCATTTTGCTGTTCAAAAAGAAATCTCTAGTCAGGAAACTACCACTACGCAAAGGCATGTGCACTCAAATAATTGGATCAAAATTAGGTAAATGGTACTAATTCCTCTGGTAAAGCATTACCTAAAAGAAAAAAGAAAACCAGATGAGAGAATGAGATCTAAGAGGAGAGCAAGAAAAAGTACTATTTTACTTGAAGCAATTTGCCTAGCTTTTCTCTGTTTTTTAAAACAAGAAAACCAAGAACACTCCTCTCCTGAGAGAAGTGGGCTGATAAGGTGACCCTAGCACCTTACAAGCAAGCGCACAGAACTGAATTCAAAGAAACAGCGAGTAAGAAACCTAAGATACCATCTCTGAAGTAAACATGCAATGGGCATAAAAAATTAGCTAGAGCTAGATTATGCTACTGTCTTAAGGTTAAACATTACTCAATTATATTCTTGACCCAAGTCAGAGCTGCACAAAAACAATGGAAAAGCCACACGGTTATCAGAAGCCACGTACAGCACGGTCAATTTAAATACGGCACATGAGCCCCACGCGTCTCAGAGCTTTTTTGCTCGGCAGTGACAGCGGTTGCTATCTGGACCATCGCGCGAGTCTGACAGAAGTTCCGCCCTTCCTAACTCTCCAGGAACTCCGCATCACAGGCTCCTGAGCTCACTGCCACATCAGCAGGATGATGGAGAATGTTTCCTAGAACCCAAAACAAAGGTACCTGCGTTAACAGTTACTAAGAAAAGTTTACTTCAAGGCAGGAGGAGCATGAGAACAGGGGGAAAAAAAAAATCTGATTAACTAAAGTACTTGTTCTATGAGCAATTTTTTAAAGTGGAAATTATTTGTATTTTGCTCAAACCAACGTCCCAAAGAGGTTGCCTGGGACAACTTGTCTTCAGGCACAAAACCTGCCAAATAAGTTTCCAAGTAAGGCTCAACACGTGAAAAGAAAGAAGATAAAACTCATGTGTGAGTAGAGCTATCTGTATGTATCAGAGATTCAGCTCTGCCATTAAAAAAAAAAAAAAAAGTATTTTTAACATTAAACTAATAATAATTCATATTTTACGCAATTCATTTTTCCAAAAAGCATGCTCAAAAGCATCCAGTGAAGACTGGCAGAATGTGATGCCCATTTCATCCACAGGGAAGCGAGGGGAAAAGAAAACGTCTTGTCAGAGACATATCTGCAACGGGACCCCCCGGCCTTGGAGCACAGACCACGTGGGTTCACCCAGCAGGCACCACACGCAAACACACGGTACCACTGATGACAAATACACTACTTTCTGAGAATCACTTTGAATCAAGCACAGAGGAAAGTGCCTATTCAGGAGGAGAGGGGAAACAAATCTCGGGTGAGGACAAGAAATCAACAGCCCAAGGAGAAGAGGGAAACTGCAAGTGGCTGGCGCTGATCTGTTTAGTATTCACGCTGCCTGACACCTGATCACCAGAGCACCGAAAAGGGTCAGACGCTTTTGATGTGGGCTGTGGTCACATGAAAAATATCCACTGTGCTCAGCAGAGAAATCCAGTATGCAGTGAATAAAGGATCAAGCAGGTCGGGAACAGTTTTCTCCAACAAAAGTATTTTAAAACCACGTTTGCCTAGCATACTTTAGTAAATTAAAACGCTGAATGACTGACTGAGAATTCGGACTCAACCAAAAGGAATCCAAAAACCATTAGATAACTAACTGACCTAGTGAAATCACAGGCACATTTTTCCAAGATAACAGTGTAAAGCTGCAAAGAACCATATAGCACATACATTCAAAGGAAAACATGATTTTTACTTACATTTCAGTGGCTATGAATCCGGTGAGCTCCGACAGGAAGAGAAACAGTATGAAGAGACAGCAGCAGACAGAGACTGGAAAAGAGGCAAGGAGAGGCAAAGGTTAGTTTCACATCTCTGACAAAGGTATAAACTCTTCTCACACAGGCATATTACTCCCCCCATGGATAAGCCACCCAGACACACTCGAGAACAGTCTTTAGAGACAACGACCCAGACCCAGACCAGGCCACCAGAGCAGTGACTTCAATGGCTGGGTACCCAACATCCTGCGGGGTCTCTCAATTCTTGGGCCACCTTTTCCCCTGTGATTTCCATCTCCTCGAGGCTCCTGCTTTCCATCTCCAGAGCACCATGTTGGTCTGCCAGCTCTCTCTCCTTCTTGACAATATGATTTCTTTGGAGCCCTTGCTCCAAATGTAATTCTATTACTACTAAAACCTCCGGAAAGGAAAAAGAATCAACACCTCCTTGCTTCAAAAGCATATAGTCAGCTATACAGTGTTTTGTGGATTAGGAGACATTTTGGCTCTTTGACAAGTTCTAAGGCTCCGTGTCAGTCATCTCACGGCCTGCACTCCCCACCAGACCGAGCAGGTACAGCAGAGACATGGCGATAACGGACTAGTCTAGCCAATGCCTGACGCTGCTCTAATTTCTCCATTTGCCGATATATTGACTCTTCAGAGAGGGAAAATTCCCAGCGAAGGGAATGCAAAGTACGTGGACAACAAGTCCCTTGTCTTTTCTAAGAATGCCAACCTAGAGTTAAAAGGAGGGAACTCAAAGTAACTGGCATATTACTGCTTACTCTTCATCAGGAAACTATTCAAAACGTTGTCCAGTGACATCCACGCAGCAGTGACACAGTCATTGACCCGCACAGGAGGGGCTGGAAGGAAGGGGAGCTGTAGATCCTACGGAGCAGGGACGATTGGAGTAGAGAAGGATGTGCCAGCTCAAGGAGACAGGGCTGCAACGCGTACTTGTATAAATCAAATACCCAAGTTCACCACGAATCACTATACGAAGGAGTAAACCAGGAAACGGCGTGCTAGTCCAGGGCTGCCACAACAGGAGTACAATCCGGCTCAGCCCTCCATCCCAGCAGAGTTACAATCACCAAGCACTCTTCGGAAATGATCACTTCCCCACAGCCACTAATTGGGACTGAGAAATACGTAAGAAAACCCCTGTTCCTCAACTTTATTCCACATGACCTATACAGCCCGAATACCCATTCCTTCGGGAAGCTCAAGCAACAGCCGGCTGGGGAGCAATTTTACCATAAAAATGCGCCTGTCCAAACTCCCTCGGTAGAGAATGTGAGAGGTATGGGAAGGAAAGAGGAGGTACTTGAGGCAAATACCGAGACAGACCCTCGAGTGACCTAAAGCCTCGTGCCTCATTCTTCAGATTAGTCAGTTTATAGTTCTGAGGAAAGAGAAATGTGCTGCTTCCCCTTCCTCAGACTCATTTCAACAGCGGATTAATTTACTGACCCTCTGAAGAGTGCAAGGGATTAAAAGATGCCAAACAATCTGTTAGCTAGGATGAAGAAAGGGAGAAAAGGGAAGAACAAAGTCAAAGACCAGTAGGAAAATGGGAAGCAAGAGGGGATATTCCTTTCTAAAGAGAAACCTCAGATGGTCACACAGTTGCTTGCAAGTCCTGGCTGTCCAGACACAGAAGACCACCACTGCTGGAACCCAGCTACGCCACGGGCACGGTGCACCCCGCGGCGCAGGGGAGGAGAAAGGGCTACGTAAAGCACAGCAGCAAATCCTTATGAGAACATATACACCTACTTAAGAGCACAAAAAAAGCAAGCTAGGCACAAGACTAGTTGATCCAGTGTTTCTCACTGCTAATCACCAAACAGCAGGGACACAAGATCTCTGATCTTTGGCAGTATGCAGGGGAGAGCATTTGACACAGAGACAACCCTTTCTTCTTTAATTGCTTCCCATATTCCTCTCTGCTTGTTATCAGCCTGTAAAGGCTTCCCACAGCATCAGCTAGACCTCTGTGCTCTCCAGCACAAGCCTGGCACTACTAACTGTAAACTCTCTCCCAGAGCTTTCTCTCTCTCTTCCAATTTTTAAACTTTCTTCTCTGCCATTTCCATCATCAAATTATCTTCTCTTTTTCCAGTACACAAAGTATTTGCTCCCTCAAGTCCATCTTCCAATGCAGCTCTTGCAGTGAAGGCTTGTGACAATACTTACCAAATACGGTACAGTAAAATTCCACTAACCTAAGTCTGTGAGAATGCCCTGAAACACCTGATTTTCAAAAGGTCCTCAATGCTTTTGCCAGTCTTCAAACGACATACTCAGTTTTCAACCTGTGAAAGAGATTACTGAGGGGGGACGTGAGAGGGGTATATAAAACCACGAGCAGCCTGAAGGAGATGAAGGGGGAACGACCACTCACTGTCTTCCAGTATGGGAATGGGAGGGAAGGGGGAGGTTAAAAACAAGAGGAGGTTTTCCTTTACGCAACAGCTAACTAAATTCTGAAAATTCTTGGCTATGGATGTTGGGGATGCTTAAAAAAAAAAAGGTCTGTAAGATTTCAAAAAGGAATCAGACATGCCCTGAAGAAGAAATCCATTGAGGGCTACTAAACGCAAAGGAACCACCTCTAGCTCAAGAGGCCCAGACCTGCCAACCGACCGAAGCCTGGCGACGTGTTTAACCGCCCTCGTGCTCCCTCTCAGGCATCTGCTGCTGACCACTCCTGGCAAGAGGGCACCAGGCTACACGGGCGTTTGCGCTGACCTAGCACGGCCGCTCTTGTGTTAAACTCCTCTTGTACACACACGTTTTCAGGGCACGGGGGTGCCTTTGGCATGAGACTTACGTCAAAGTCTTATGCATTAAACTGTCTCTTGAGCCAACGTTTTTTCAGACACAGAATGCAAGCTCCTCTCCTTAGCGTGGAGCTGCAGGCACATGCAATGTTCCCAGCATAAGAATTTACGCACACAGTGCTTCAGCTACTTATTTCATAGTGAAGGCCTTTACTTGCTTCCATGCAAATGTGCAGTTCCTGCCACCCACATTTGACAACTGTATTATATTTGGGAAAGTAGATTAAAGGCTAGGATCAGACAGAATAAAACAATTAATGCATAACGCTTAGCTCAACTGCAAGAGCACTGCCATGTTCCCACAGAGCTCAAAGGACCATCTAAGACAGGTTTCTTAAAACTCTAGTATGATAACACGATCAATACATCAAAGGTTGCTGGTGTTAGAGACACTGGAACACACCGCTGTTGGCTAATCGGTAATCCCAAAAGGATGGCAAGTTCTCCCAAGCTTTTTTTCCCTACGCTAGCTTTGACAGCCTAACCTTTTTGTACATATCCCTTCTGATACATACCCCATCTATGCACATTCCTGACTCTTCCTCCCCACCCCACAAGAAATGAAAGAAACGCGAAGTGTTTAACACATCATGCAGACTGAGAATGTGGATCCATGTCTATATTAAGGCATAAAATTAATAGTATTTATTGTTCAATGGAGCAAACTGTTATGAAGTGCAAGGAACGGGTCTTGTTACAGATGCCATGTGAATCATAACTTTGATATTTCCTGATGTGTATTTAAAACTCCAGCCTCCAAACAGCATAGAGTATTTCTGGATAACATTACCATGTGTGCATACAACATGTGCATGCAAACTATGCACCCACACCACTGACTGTTAAATAGCTGGATTGCTACAGCAGCTGTCCAAGTTGCAGGCCCCTCTCTCGAGGAGTCAGACGGCTCCTCCCCAGCCAGATGCCAACCGTCAGCCAGCCCGGGCACGTGCTGCTGCTGCCCACATAGCCAAACATGGCCAAGCTGTCACCACGGTAGTCAGGTCTGTTGGAACGGCCGGGGGCTGGCACCACAGACACGCTGCACGGGGGGGAGTCCTGCAAAGACTGGCACAAGCATCTGGTGGAAGAGGGACAAGAACGGCACGACTGGCTGAGCGGCACAGGGATCGCAACGCTGCCTGAAAGAAGAGATTTTTAGCGAGAAAAAGGAATGAGTACCTTCACACTTTTCAGCAAAGTCCACAGCAGTGGGTATGTTGTTCTATACAAACCTCAATCCATTACACTGCAGTGGCCTGTTCTTGGTTCCTTCACTCCTACTAATTTCTGATAGCTGGAAGGGTTGCTACACAGATTTGAAATACCTTGTACGCCGCGTTCACTGCAACTTTTGAAATTACAAACCCGTACGTAACAGAAAGACTCAGTAACCCTCCAGCTGGCTTCTGCACTTGTCTGTGTTCGAGATCGCCTGCTCTTCTCCACCAAAATACCCTAACGCTTCTCCCTGAGCTGCTTCTCTCCTAGAGGAGCGGGCCACTTCAGCCCTGGTGGTCAGAAGCTGAGCTGGTACCTTCCACTTCTTTTCTTCTGGAATCTGATCCCTTCCTTCTTCCCTAATAAACCTCAAACTTTTCAAAAAAAGGCCTTTTTACAATCCAAAAACAACTGTAGGAATCCTGCAGTAAATCCATTCCTATTCCAGAAAGCCTTCAGCACCAGAAGCGATACTGAACTAAAGTTTCAGCAGAAGTTGCATGGGAAGGGCCTAAATATAAAACAGCCCCTGGTCAGCTACTACGGGCTATTTTATATCTGCTCTGTAAACCTTGGAAGACTTAAAGAAAGCCAAAATACAGTAGCAGCCATAGTTGTTTCACACATTTACCAGAGCCTAAAAGATTTTTTTTATGAGGCAGAACGTTCCCCTACCTCCAAGCCCCTAACGTTATTACAAGCTGACTTCCCTAAAGCATTTATCATGAAATCGTGCAACCTTCCCAGGCTTCCAACTGGCATGGAGATGCGCTGCTCTCATTCACGGCCTCCTACAACACGCAAGATTACTGGCTTTCAAATTACAAGTCAGAGGCTTGGTCAGACAGAAAGCCCATTAGGAAAGCTGCACACAAGATCCTCACATGCAAAGCCACCACAGTTTGTTGGCTGACTGCGTGGTTCAAAAGCTTATATCAGCCTGTCTAAAAACACTATGACAAAAAGAAGGAGAACCAGTTTGAGAAGAAAATCAAAGCCTGAGAAGCTGCAAATAACAATAGAGAGAAATAAGTCAGCTAATAATTTTAAGTAAGAGTCACAGCCTTCAAGCCTTCCCACAACAGACTTATCACTTGAGCTGTTTACTGCAGATCAGAAAGCCTAACACTGGATGGCCTTTGATGGTTTTTTTTGTTTCTAAAACATACTCTTCTGCAGGTGATTCATAACAAGACAAATTCTCAAAGGGAGCCCAGTTACAGTGTGGGAACTCTTAGTTTCCAAAACAGAAGAGAAGGCAGGATCACTAACAAGTTCAAAGTGTTCTTTCAAAACACTAAATCTCATACGCCTCTAAATGAGCAAACAGTTTTATTCAAGCCCTTTGTTCACAGTTTCAGCAAACCTAAAAGGGAGTCAACATACAAGTCATTTCAGCGGCCAGGAGAACAGGGAGGACAAGGACTCTCTGAAAGTAAATATTTAGAGTAATGTGCTGTCTTCACAGAAGCACAGAATAGCTGGGGCTGGCAGGGACCTCTGGAGATCACCCCCTCCTACTCCCCTGCCCGGAGCAGGCCCAGCTAACGCAGGCTGCTCAGCGCCGGGTTTTGAGTATCTCCAAGGATGGAGACTCCACAACACTCTGGGCAACCTCTTCCAGTCTTTGACCGCCCTCACAGTAAGGAGTGAGGGGCCTCCTTAGCTCACCACGGGCTCTCCTTTGTGCCCACTGATTCACCGCTACTGACTCAGTTCTATTTGATGCCTGCTGTCACCAAGGGATATGACATCACTCACGTCAGCAATGACATACAAGGCTACTGACCCATCTACAAGAATGGATGAATGGAGCACAGCTACACGATCAAAGGAAATCACTGTTCAATGGAACAGGAAAGCTGCATTAGGCGTCTAATTACAGGCCTGGCAGGATCAACCCGATCGATGTTTACCACTCCACACAGCGCGCTCGCTGCATATAATTGTGTGAAATGGCATTACTCAGCCTACAGCCTCCCTCAGGAGGAGGAAGGAAGGAAAAGGGGCCCAAGGCAAGAGATTTGTATCAGCCGAAGCCTATGCATTGATACACGGGAGCGAGAGTGGATCGCTATCGGTGGTTTCTGACCAAGCAATTTTTCTTCTTTAAAAGCATGACAAATAACAACAAAATAAGATCTCTGCTCATTAGTCCCACCTACAACGTCAGACGAATCCCCTGAGTATGCTGTGAGAGAAACACGTGTTTCCCAAATCACCTTCACCGCTGGCCACCGCTTCTTGCCACCCACGCTGCTCCTTACTGACCCACAGCCTGGGTCCCTGTTTGCAGCGGTTTGCTTTCTCAAGCCTCTTCAGCAAGCAAACGCCCACACACCCTACCTGTGAATGCAGCTGCTACCAGCTGTTTTTTACACTGACTGAGGGGATGCCTACCAGAGAGAGGCAAAAAAATGTGCAGTCATCCCCCCGCACCGCTGTTTGGAGCAGACTCACAGCTTCTGCTCATGGGAAAACACCAGCAAAAAGCTCTCCAGCTACTTCAGTAGCTAGCAGCGTGGGTATTTCAGCGCTAGCTTTTAGGAGCTCCCTTTCATGACAATATATCTTTACTACTTTTTGTTCCTGGGATTCTGAATCCATGCAAACTTCTCCACCATTTAGTACGACCTGACAGATTGGGCAAAATGAGCTGTCACAGCAACAAGGGATACCCTTTCCAGTGTTTAATATCCCTTCAAAAAACTCCCCGGAGACAGGGAAGCCAAAGGATCTTTAATTTTAGACCAGGGGGTATGCAAGGACATCAAAAAGCAGCGTTACTTACTAATAGCCCCTGTGTAGGTTGGCTGTGTAAGGTCTTTTGGCACCTTCCTGTAGATGTCAAACCTGAAAGAGGAAAAGCAACAGCCATAAAACAGGTGGAACATTTCAATGCATTTCACGTCCCCACAGGGATGAATGATGCTCAAGTTTTTCCACCCAGCTTTCCAACAACAATTTTTCAGTTCGCAGAAGGATATGAGAAGGGAAAACAGAACAAAACAAAAAATCCTTTTTCTTTTGTACAATTATGTAACCGCGCTCCCTCTTGGCTCCGGTTTCCAACGCGCTTCTCTCCGCCTTGCCGTCCTGGATCTGCACAGTCTGAACTGAGAGAGGTGCCAGGGAGGCAGTCATGCTGGACAAGCTTACAGACCACCGTAAAGGAAGCGGATGCTCTCCAGACTCCCGAATAAAGAGGCCTGGCAGAAAACCCGTGAGGCACAACCTGTATTGCCCCTTGTAGTTTGTGTCCTGCAACAGCCAGAAACTGGCACCACCCAAGCCAGAAATCAAGGTGTTGCGACAAGAAACCTTCCCTTGGACACTGGATACACAGGAGAAATCAACCCAAGAAGTTTGCTACTCCCCCAGCAAAATGTAGTTTAATATTAGACCGTTGTTTTGGTTCAGTCATCTCTTTTAATATCCATATGGCTCAGCTCTGCTATTTTAAACTCTCCATGGTTAAACTTTCGCTGCCCTTATGATGTTAGCTGTATTATTTCCTACAACCTTCTGTTCCTGCACGTCCAGCCGCAATGCAGCTCTGACATCAGTTTTTCCACCACTCAATAAAAATTAATTAATGCATTAAAAACACACACACACCCTAAAGGAGGAAGTGACTGGTTCTCCCCCAAAATAGACTTCGTTTGGATATACCACAAGTGGGTGAGATTTGATGCTTTTTCCAGCCCTGGAGAGGCATGAGAGACACCAGCTTCCAAATTCCTACTCTATACTGCACCAAGATGAAACAGCCGCATCTTTATTCAGTAGTTCCTACTACACCAAATATTATACTGAGAGTTTAAAAACTAGATCATCTTTCTTTTCTTCACTCTTCATCTGTTGAGATCACTTACAACTTGGAGGCACTCGGGGTGAACAAACCAGCATCTGCCTTGCGTGAGATGGGGAGGACATTGCTGCTGTGTTTCATTCAGGAGTTGAAGCTGGAGGAAAGAAGGGTAAGAGAGGGAAGGAGAACAGGTATAAAGATGGTTCATCTCCCCAGCTCGAGTCCTGAACACGCTATGGAATCACTTAACCGTTCCAACAACCCGCTGTGCTACACTTGACAGAGCGTGCTGCGCAGAATACGCACTGGAACCATATGTTTCTATGACTCTATTCACTGCCGTCTCCCAAATAGATTAGTAATATTCCTGAACCAAACAGTCCATTTATGGCTCTCCAGCTGCCCTGAGAACATCTGGAAAGTGCTGTTTACATTCTTTCCGCACACACCAAAGCGGGAGCAGCAGCGGATGCGAAAGCAGCCCAGAGGAGCTGATGACATCACGGTCTCACAGGCGGAGGAAGTAGCTGCTCGCAGCCCATTAAACGCTGAAAGCTGGTGCCATCGCGCCAAAGTCACAATAATAGATCAACAAGGCTAAAAAAGCTGAGAGACAAAGAAAAGGGGAGAGAGAGAGAGAGCACATGAGCACGCAAGGACGGCTGAGTGCGAGTGAACAATTAGGAATAGGAAATAGCTCTATGCTGGATTCAGTAAAAACAGCAGCATGTGGATACTATAAAAGGAAATCTGTTCTTACAATGAGAAATATTTACTAGTATTAAAATGATGACCCATCACAGGATTAAAAAAAATAAAAATCTAGCTTTTTAAATAACTCAGTGGAAAGTTGATGTCATGGCAGGGTTCTCTCCTCTCGGACTGCCATTTTACTCACATGATTTGTGGGCTTTGGGTGTTACTTAAGTTTTACATGGCATAAGCAAGCTAGGATTAGGCAAAGACACTACAGAAAGCGATCAATGGCTCCCAGCCACATTGATCGCCTGGCTTGAAGTGCTTAAAAGGCAGTCCACCCTCTCTGTGCTATTCTGCTTCCCAACTCCTCTACCACAACGTTACGTTCCCTCTCTCTCCTGCTGCCGTGACACACACCTAAAAAGGGCTTTAAGCAAGTCTCTGGACCCGATTCGCCTGGAGTTTTGAGAACTCTTGGGTCTGTACTTCCAGGCTGAAGCCTCCCTGCGAGCGCAGTACAGCGCATTCACAACAGCCATCGCACGAGGCCCTGGACGCACTTTAAGGACCACTCCACGTATGAGCACGGTGAGCGCACCCAGCTTGCTGGGCAAACATCATCAGGCACACGGCGTCCCACCCTTGAACTTGCAGTCTAGCGGCACATACAGGAAGAGTACAGAACAGCCCAGGAAAACTGCATACAGCTTTAAGGGCTTTGTTTTGTAGAATTAACACATTTTTAGGTAAGGACAGACACTAAGGAATAACACAGAACCGAGAGTGGACAGCGTATGCAAAAGCGGCAACGAGAGCAGGCTGGATGGCAGGGAGGAAGGAGGAAAGCTCAGCTGAGATCTTCTGGGTGAAGGCAGAAGCTTGAGGGACGACATCCAGAACCTGACTCGAGCAGCAGAAGGGAAGGCAAGCAGGGGAGGCGTATTTAAGCTTGCAGAAGGATGCCGAAATGACCAAAACGATTAACATTGACAGCAAGGGAATGGGAAGAGACAGGTTTGGAATAAGAGACAAACACTGCTGGCTAGCTTTTGCTCACTGACACATGATACCAGTAAGTCCAAGAGACTACCAAACCAAAAGAAAAAGGACTGGGTATGTACATGTATCCTGGGAGAACAGTCATCTGCTTGGAAAATACATGCTCTGGATTAGGAGCGTTTATACTGTGATAAAGGATAAATACTCTTCAGGGTACCAGGCATCTTCCCATAAAGCATCTGATACTGGCCATAGCTTGAGAAAGTCCAATTTATTTAGTCTGATCCAGGATGGTGAAAACAGTAGTTGGGTTTATGCATTCGAAAGAAGGGCAAGCTGGAAGCCCAAAAGGATAGCAAGACATCAAACTTTGAAGGGAATGGTGAAGATGCTGGCATGGCCAGGGAACAGAGCTATCTTGGTAACTCCGATTTAAACTGAGTTAAAAGGAGATAAAAATTGCAGAGGATTCGATGACAGCTTGAAAAGTATGTTTGTGAGACAGAAGAGATAGGAGATTCCAGCAGTAAGTAGAGGATGGAACCCCAAAGATGATCTCATTGATTACATATAATTACAATAAACAAGTAAATCAAGCAAACTTCTCAAACAAATCCGTAAAGTTGACAAGAGTTATTGTAACAGGAGACCCAAAGCCCCAAGAAATCAGAGATTTGGGAAAGCCATAGCTCCTCTCAGACCTAAGGGTTAAAAATCCGATTAACTTCTAGGCTCCACTAGACAAACCCCTCTGCTTTTGCCGCCAGCTTCTTGCCTACATCAGAGAGCTTAAAGCAATTTCAGGGGATCACTTACACCATCCTGGGAAGAGAAAAGCATGAGGATTAGACACCAGAGATGATTTGTAATGTACGAGGGAGGAGGCCATGGAGTTGCACGCATGGTAAAGGGGAACAGGTTTTACTTGCCCTCAGGTCAGATGTTCCTGCAAGCACCTGCAGGAAAAATTCCAATAAGCCTCCAGGTTCCTGAGGCATTGGTCACTTGGAAGAGTATTTGTACCCTGGGAACAGAGAGGAACCTCGTGCGCTATATATTGCAAAAGCTGCCTTACAGACTTCTGATACTGGCGCATTCAAAGCAGTGGAAGATATTACCGATGGTGGAGGAAGACTGGACGTTCAGAAAGGTTATACCAGCCAGCTCATAACACAGCGAGACATGCTGTACTACGCTGTGAAAATCCGCTTTGATAGTCTTGTAGTCATATCCGAAATGACCATGAGAAAGCAGGGTGTAGATTTACGTCACGTTCACTGCCCTGCAGTAACTGCTAAGTGAGCGCTCTCAACCCGCAGTACCGCGCAGCAGCTTACCCCGCTTTCACGCGGGGATACGTTACTGTACGCTTCCAAAGCACGCACACGTGCTGTTTCCACAGGACGACCGGCACATTATTTATATCTAGCTTTTGGCAACTTTCTTCCTTCGCTTAGAAAGGCAAGACTTGTAAGGTGAAGTAATAGCTGCCGAGTGGAAACAACAAACTTTTTGCTAGGAAAGCTCTTCCTCTCCCTCACAGAGGGAGGGCTGGACCTTGCAATATCAGAATACAAGGCTAAGGATAGAACCAGGCTGTCATCAGGATAACAAAGGAATCTCCTGACACATCTAGCGTATCTATGGTCTTTTCTTTCAATGGAGAGCATGGTTGCAAACAAAGAAATAAAAAAAGGCTGGTTGGCAATGTCAGAGTTTCACAGGAACCAGCATTCATAACTAACATCAGGGAACGCTACAGTACTTTTTTCTCAATCCAACACTGAAAAGACATAACCAAAAACTTTCTCACCTCCCTGACAGGAATGTCAACAAACTGGTCAAACAGCATTGTGAAGAAGAGCAGCACAAGGATCATTCTTAAATAGGTTCAAACAGAGAATTCACAACCCTTAGCACGATCAAGTGAGGTCTGAGGCAGAGACGGGTGTGCAACAGTCCTCTGAGAAACACAGAAATTACGTGTTTGGTCTCACCTGATTGCAGTTGCACAAGCGGACAGTGAGGTAAAATTGCAGATCCGGGCACCTCAATGGAGCCGAAGGATGGCAGATTTCAAGTGCCAGTAAGTATTAGATGGACTCAAAAGCTATATCTAGACTAATACGGGCTGTTGCCAGTCAAACTTTTTTTCTTCAGATAGAAGTATATGCTCTTTGTGTTCAATTTTCAGGATCTGCTAGAGCCACAGAAAGCATCAAAGTGTTTAACCAGCCAGAGGCAGATGCAGCAGTGCTCATCCCAGCGGGCCAGCCACAAACCATCACGGCCAAGGCTGGCCACGCAGAGGCCGTGGCAGGTCAGACCCGACAGAACCAAGCAA